GCCGAATAAGGGTTGTTTGCCGAGCAGGCCGCCTGCTGAGAGGCTTGAGAGCTGCCGTTCCTGCGAGAATTGAAAACCACGACATATAACATCATTCTGAAGACAGCTCAGCCGTATTCGTTCCGTTGTACCCAAAATGACGAGGTTCGCGCCGCTGCCTGCACGGCGAGGCCGGATATCGCGCCATCCAAAACGGTTCGAGTCATATCCTGAGGTCCGCCACGAACGCCAGGCGGCACTTGTTCTGAAGCCGCCTTGATAAAGTCAGCATTCTTTACCGCCTATGCGACAGCCGGAGACGCCCCGGCGAGGCTCCCAGCACGCGAGCGGCCATACAGAAGTGAAAGCACCAGACAGCCGCAACGGTAACGAGCTCACGCCAGCAGGCGCTTTTTCGCGCCCGCGTCCCAGAGAATTAGCGATGTTCTGCAGGCTGAAGGCATAACGCCATGGATGAGTTCATGCCAGCCACCGCAGAGTTCAACGCAACGCCGCCAATCAACGCCAGAGGCGTATCGCTATGTCGATACCCAGTACCATAAACAAAGCCGCAGCACCAACGACTATACGCAAACCGTTACGGCGATGTCGTTTATATGGTTTGGCCCGCTACCACCGAGCCGAGCAAACGCCCAGGTCGCCCACGCCAAGTCTGAAGTTCCAGAAAACCGGGCGCGAGTCTTGAAATGGCATTATCGCCATGAGTTTGAGCGCCATGAAAGAGTCGCAACCGAGTTCAAGGATGTAAGTATGGAGACACAGTTAAATAAGCCACCAGCGATTCTGAACTCGGCGACCCCTGGTTTACGAGACGCAGTGCTCTAACTCTGATTATGGTATGCCGTGTGAGGTTGGTGAATGTCATTCTCGCTTTTGGACAAAATGACTGACAGAAAACGAGAATGCTGAATTATAAATTGTTCAGGTTTCTTCTAGATCGTTGACGAAAAATATTTTTCTGAATGAAAGATTTCAGCTAGCCAAAATGGGTGAATTTCGTCATTCTTTATATATGACACGGTATACATAATCTTAATTGAAGATTAAAACCCACAACCAATCAATGAGCATGAAGCAAAGGTTGTATGTATAAGACACAGATAAATAAACCAATTAGCGAGATTCGAACTCGCAACCCTGGTTTACGAGACCTGTGCCTCAACCTCTGAGCTATGGAGGCGCCGTGAGGCTGCGAATGTCATCAGCTTTCAAATGACTGGACAGAAAACGAATGCTGGAATAAGGAAATCTGTCTGGTGGCTTTGCAATTTCTTCTAGACTGTTGAATGAAAAATATTTTTTCGAATGAAAGATCTCTAGCTAGCCAAAAGTGTAAGAACGCTGTGATTTCCGGAGAATATATATGACACTGTAAATACAATCTGAAATACGATGAACCCACAACCAAGCAATGAGCAGAAGCAAAGGATGTGGCAATGTATAAGACATACAACGTTTACCAGCGAGATCTGAACTGCGACCCCTGGTTAACGAGACCAGTGCCTAACCTCTGAGCTATGGTGGCGGGAGAAGACCGAGAAAAGTCACTCTTGAGCTGTCTGACCGGACAGAAAAGGAATGTTGAATACAGAAATAAGTCTTTGCAATTCTTCGTGACTGTTGAAAAGAAAATATTTTCGAATGAGATCTCTGAAGCACAAAAATGTAAGAACGCCAGATTGAGAATATATGCGACACTGTATATAATCTTAACAAGATTAACCCACAGCCAACCACCAGCATGAAGCAAAGGTTGTGTCATGTTTACACACAGATAAATAAGCCACCAGCGAGATCTGAACTCAAGGACTCTGGTTTGATGAGAGACCAGTGCTCTAACCTCCTGAGCTATGGAGGCGCCGTGAGGCTGCGGAATGTCATTCTTCAGCTTTCGACAAATGACTGGACAGAAAACGAATGCTGAAGCAGAAATCTGTTCAGGCTTTGCAATTTCTTCACCGTTGAATGAAAAGTATTTTTCGAGCTCGAAAGATTCAGCTAGCCAAAAAAGTGTAAGAACGCTGTGAGAATATGGCGACACTGTAAACATAATCTGAACACGATGAAACCAACCAAGCAATGAGCATGAAGCAAAGGATGTGGTACGTATAAGACACAGTTAACAAGCCACCAGCGAGATTCGAACTCGCGACCCTGGTTAACGAGACCAGTGCCTAACCTCTGAGCTATGGTGGCGGAGAAGACGAGAAAAGTCACGAGCTTTCTGACCGACAGAAAAGGAATGTTGAATACAGAAATAAAGTTCAGGCTTTGCAATTTCGTGACTGTTGAAAGAAAATATTTTTTCGAATGAAAGATCTCTAGCTAGCCAAAAGTGTAAGAACGCTGTGGATTTCGAGAATATATATGACACTGAACATAATCTGAACACGATGAAACCTTAACAAGCAATGAGCATGAAGCAAAGGATGTGGCATGTAAGACATAGTTAAGCCACCAAAGGAGATTCGAACTCGCGACCCTGGTTTACGAGACCAGTCCTTCTACCCTTGAGCTATGGTGGCGCCGGAGGCCGCGAATTGGCCTCTCAGATTTCGACAAAATGACTGGACATAAAATGAATGCTGAATACAGAAATCTTGTTCAGGTTTTGCAATTCTTCTAGACTGTTGAAAGAAAATATTTTTTCGAATGAAAAGATCAAAGAAAAAATGTAAGAACGCTGTGATTTCCGAGATTATATATGATACGGTATACATATAACAAGATTAATCCCGGCAACCAAGGAATGAGCATGAAGCAGAGTTGTGTATGTATAAGATACAGATAAATAAGCCACCAGTGAGATTCGAACTCGCGACTCTGGTTTATGAGACCAGTGCCTAGTCTCTGAGCTATAGTGGCGCGAGGAGACCGCGAAAGTCACTCTTGAGCTTTCTTGACCCGACAGAAAGGAATGATGAAACAGAAACAGGTTTTGGAAATTTCTTCGAGATCGTTGAAAGAAAAATATTTTTTCTGGAATGAAAAGATCTTGAAGCTAGCCAAAAATGCAAGAACGCTGTACTCTGAGAATATATGACACGGTATACATAATCTCAACAATATGAAACCCAATAAATCAAGCAATGAGCATGAAGAAAAAGGATGTGGCATGTATAAGAGCTGTATCAAGCTTCACCAGCGAGATTCGAACTCGCGACCTGGTTTACGAGACCAGTGCTCTAACCTCTGAGCTATGGTGGTGCAGGCTACGAATGAAATTCTTCAACTTATTACAAATGACTGACAGAAACGAATGTTGAATACAGAAATCTGTTCAGGCTTTGCAATTTCTTCTAGACTGTTGAATATTTTTCGGAATGAAAGACCTCAGCTAGCCAAAAGTGTAAGAACGCTGTGATTTGAGAATATATATGACACTGTAAACATAATCTGAACACGATGAAACCTTCCACAACCAAGCAATGAGTATGAAGTAAAAAGATGTAAGTATGTATAAGACACAGTTAAACAAGCCACCAGCGATGAACTGCACCCCTGGTTAATGAGACCATGCTCTAACTCCTCTGAGCTATGGTGGCGCGAGAAGACCGAGAAAGTCACTCTTGAGCTTTCTGACCGTAAAAAAGGAATGCTGAATTCAGAAACGTTCAGGTTTTGCAATTTCTTCTAGACTGTTGAATGAAAAATACTTTTTCGAATGAAAGATCCTGTTAGCCAAAAATGTGAACACTTCACGGAGAATATATGACACGGTTTATTAATCTTAACAAGATTAAACCCACAACCAACTAACATGTTAGCCAAAGGTTGCGGCATGTATAAGACACAGATAAATAAGCCACCAGCGAGATTCGAAATCTGCAACCCCGGTATATACGAGACCCGTGCTCTAACCTCTGAGCTATGGAGGCGCCGTGAGGCCGTTAGAATGTCATTCTTCAGCTGGACAAAAATGACTGACAGAAAAACGAATGTTGAATACAGAAATCTGTTCAGGTTTTGCAATTCTTCGAGAGACTGCTTGAATGAAAAATATTTTTCGAATGAAAGACCTCAGCTAGCCAAAAAAAGTAAGAACGCTGTGATTTTGAGAATATATATGACACTGTAAAACATAATCTGAACACGATGAAACCTACAACCAAGCAAATGAGCATGAAGCAAAGGATGGCATGTATAAGACATTAAAGCTGGGTCAGTTACCAGCGAGATTCGAACCCCGCGACCCCTGGTTTATTATGACCAGTGCTCTAACCTCTGAGTTTTGGCGGTGGCGCCGCGTGAGGCTGCGAATGTCATTCTCTCAGCTTTCGGACAAAATGACTGACAGAAATTGAATGTTGAATACAGAAAATTTGTTCAGGGTTTTGCAATTTCTTCTAGATCGAAAAATATTTTTTCGGAATGAAAGATTTACAAATAAAAAATGTAAGAACGCTGTCATTTCCGGAGAATATATATGACACGCAGCATACATAATCTTAACAAGATTAAACCCACAAATCAATCAATGAGCATGAAGCAAAGGTTGTGGCATGTATAAGACACAGGATAAATAACCACCAGGCGAGATGGAACTCGTAAATCCTGGTTTACGAGACCTGTGCTCTAAATCCCTGAGCTACAGAGTGCCGAGGCTGCGAATGTCATTCTTCAGCTGGACAAACACTGGACAGAAAACGAATGTTGAATACAGAAATCTGTTCAGGTTTTGCACTTTTCAGACTGTTGGAATGAAAAATATTTTTCGAACAGCATCCAGCTAGCCAAAGCGTAAGAACTGGGATTTCCGAGAATATATATGACACTGTAAACATAATCTGAACACGATGAAACCCACACCAAGCAATGCTATGAAGCTAAAGGATGTGGCATGTATAAGACATTAGTTAAACAAGCCACCAAAGGAGTCTGCGACCCCTGGTTAACGAGACCAGTACTCTAACTCTGAGCCATGGTGGCGGGAGAAGACCGAGAAAGTCACTCTTGAGCTTTTCTGACAGAAAAGGAATGTTGAATACAGAAATAAGTTCAGGTTTTGCAATTTCTTCTGTGACTACAAGAAAGAAAATATTTTTCGAATGAAAGATTCTGCTAGGCCAAAAACAAGAACGCTGTGATTTCCGAGAATATATATGACACTGTATACATAATCTTAACAAGATTAACTCATTGGCCAACCAACGTAGCATAGCCAAAGGGTTGTGTCATGTTTAAGACAAATAAGCCACTAAAGAGATTCGAACTCGCGACTTCTTGGTTTACGAGACCAGTGCTCTAACCTCTGAGCTATGGTAGCGAGGCTGCGAATGCTTGCCCTTCAGCTTTCGGACAAATGACTGACAGAAGATGAATGTTGAATACAGAAATTTTGTTTCGTTTTGCACTTTCAGACAGTTGAATGAAAAAATATTTTTCTGAATGAAAGATCTCAGTTAGCCAAAAATGTAAGAACGCTGTCACTTCGGTGAATATATATGATACTGTAAGCAGCATAATCTTAACAAGATTAAAACCTACAACCAATCAATGAGCATGAAGTAAAGGTTGTGGCATGTATAAGACACAGATAAATAAGCTACCAAGGATCTGAATTCGCAACCCTTGGGTTTACACCTGTGCTCTAACCTCTGAACTATGGAGGCGCTGTGAGGCTGCGAATGTCATTCTTCAGCTTTGACAAATGACTGACAGAAAAACGAATGTTGAAGCAGAAATCTGTTCAGGTTTTGTGCAATTTCTTCTAGACTGAACAGTGCTTGAATGGAAAGATCTCGCTAGCCAAAATATGTGAAGAACGCTGTGATTTCCTGAGAATATATATGACACCGCAAAACATAATCTGAACACGATGAAACCCACAACTGCCAATGAGCATGAAGCAAAGGATGTGGCATGTATATACATTAAAGTTAAACAAGCCACCAGCGAGATTCGAACTCAAGAATTTCGGTTACACCAGTGCTCGAACTTGAGTTATGGTGTGGCGGGAGAAGACTGAGAAAGCTACTCGAGCTTTCTGACTGGACAGAAAAGGAATGTTGAATACAGAAACCAGGTTTTGCAATTTCTTCGTGACTTGAAAGAAAATCATTTTTTTTTTCGAAATGAAAGATCTCAGCAGCCAAAAAAAAAAAATGTAAGAATGCAGTGATTTCTGAGAATATATATATAATGGTATACATAATCTTAACAAGAAACTCACAACCAAGGAAATGAGCATGAAGCAGAGGATGAGTATGTATAAGACACAGATAAGCCACCAGCGAGATTCGAACTCGCGACCCCTGGTTTACGAGACCAGTGCTCTAACCTCTGAGCTATGGTGGCGCGAGGAGACCGCGAAAGTCACTCTTGAGCTTTCTGACCGGACAGAAAAGGAAGTTTGAATACAGAAATCAGTTCAGGTTTTGCAATATCTTCGAGACTGTTGAGAGAAAAATATTTTTCGAATGAAAGATCTCAGTTAGCCAAAAAATGTAATAACCTTGTCATTTCCAAGAATATAAAGGACATGGGATACATAATCTTTTCAAGATTAAACTCACAACCAACCAATGAGCATGAAGCAAAGGTTGTGGCATGTTTAAGACACAGATAAATAAGCCACCAACGAGATTCGAACTCGCGACCCCTGGTTTACAAGACCAGTGCTCTAACCTCTGAGCTTTGGTGGCGCCATGAGACTACGAATGTCAGTCTTCACCTTTCGGACAAATGACCGGAAAGAAAACGAATGTTGAATACAGAAATCAGTTCAGGTTTTGCAATATCTTCGAGACTGTTGAGAGAAAAATATTTTTTCGAATGAAAGAGCTCAGTAAGCCAAAAAATATAAGAACCCTGTGATTTCCAAGATTATAAAGGACACGGGATACATATTCTTAACAAGAATAAACCCACACCCAATCAACGAGCATGGAGCAAATTCTGTGGCATGTAGAAGACACAGATAATTAAGCCACCAGCGAGATTGGAAATACGACCCCTTGTTTACGAGACCAGGTGCTCTAACCTCTGAGCTATGGTGGCGCGGGGAGGCCGCGACTGTCGCTCTTCAGCACTCGGACAAATGGAAGGATTGGATAAGGATGTTGAATACAGAAATAAGTTCAGGTTTTGTAATTTCTTAGAGATATTGGAAATGTACATTCTTTTCTAATGAAAGACCTTGTTAAGAAAACTATTTCAGTGATTGCAAGAATTTTGCTTTCTGTGTCTGCCCCTCCGTCGCCTGCATATCGCGTGCCTCCTCAATGTGACGCTGATATTATCTGCGCGGTTGTATCATCGACTTTATAATACTAAAGTTGGGAAATATGCTTCTTGGGAAGTAGGTGCTTACTAACAACGGTTTTTAAAATTTTAATTACATTTGTAATTAAAAATTTATCGAAATCTTAAAGTTTGTGTCAATAACTTCGGTTTATATTTTGCATAAAATCTATTTTTGCACCACATTAAAATTAAAAATATTAGCTTTTCAGTGATACAAATTTAATTTCTGCACAACCTTTTACCTATTTTTAATAAATTTTTAAATATTTTTTACAGCAATATTTTTTATTGTTTTAGTTACTGCATTTAATCACACGAGTGTTACAACGATAATAAATAAATTTTTTTTGTTAGTAATCGGTTGCTATATAATTAAGAGTAAATTTTAAAAAAAATAATAGAGACACAGAAAATATTATCACATTACATTGTTTCGGAAGAAAGGTTAAAATATCTTTCAATTTTTGGGGGGAGTTGGTTAACAGTCAACACATTTTCATCATGGGGCACTTTCTAGAAATTTCATTTACCCCATCCAAGAGTACATGGAGACAGAAACTCTCGAATCAAAAACTACAGAAGCAACTATTTGCTCTTAAAAAATTTTCTCGCGTCTCTAATCTCTGAAGAAAAGAAAACATAGAGGTAAAGACAAATGTAAAACCAAACTTACAGGCACACGGCCGAGATGTTTCCTTTCCAAAGTCTCCCGTCGAGAGAGAGAATATAAAATTGAATAGTCCCCTTCTATAAACCGTTAGCAGAAACAATTCAGAATCGGTTTGTCGGAGAAACCAGTAGTGGCGTTTTTTCTCTCTTTTGCTTTAGCAATTTAGACGGGAAAATATATGGAAGCGTTGGGAAAAAGAGGGGTAGGGAATCATGGAATTTATGTAAGCGGCATTTCGAGACTTCTTTCATATAAAGTATTTAAAACCAGTTACATAATATTAAAAAAATTCAAATATTTAAAATAAATGCATCAATAAGGTCTTTCATGCAATACTAGTTTTTAATTGTATATCCTTTATAAATAGATAACAATAAAAAATTTCATTTTTAATGAAAAAGAAGTTTCAAAATTTATAAAAGAATAGTACAAAGGACATATATGGCATTACCAGATAAATGGTGAGGATGGCATCTCTGAAAAAAAGAAGACTTTATAAAATCGGTGATGTAGACAATAACCATTAGCCTATGATCCATAAAAAGTCAGTCACTTCTTACTTCGCAGTCTGCTTCAAGTTTCTAAGCCTGCAACTTAACATATCTGCCCAAGCAGAAGCAGTGAAAAGGGCAAGGTCGCAAATATTCCTGAGAAAAATCCTACGCCGCTAAAGTTATTGAGTGTTTTGCCTTATCGGATATCCTTAATGTAAGGTAAAATCTTGGGGTGAGTCAGAAAATGTCACGAAATCGATAGTTTTGTCAATCTCTCCTTGCTTGCTTAGTAACTGTCACATGGTTCGGCAAGCTATGAATATTGTAACGAGCCTGTAATGTTGCTTCCCAACAATATTAGTCTTATGTTTGAAAAGAGACAGTTACAGAGGTTTTATTGGATGCCGGGGGAATGGAAGCCATTGACCCACGACCTTGACGCAAAATTGGCTATCATTTTGGTGAAAAGAAATTACTAGAATTTTCGTCCTATCTCTATTAGGGACAGAGATGTAGAGAATGTACTGGATGATTCTATGTGGTTGTTTGGGGTTTGGTTGTTTGGGGTTTAATGGCGCAAGAGCCATTTTTGGCTAAACTGCGCCAAACATATGATAGCTAAACAGGAACACGGTGTCATAAAAAAGGGGCTAAAAGTACTAAAGATATATATCTTCTTCACGATGTAAAATAATTGAAAGTAAGTAGCGTAAAATTGAAATCTAAGGTAAAATTGGTAGACAAGATAAAAGACGTCCAGCCGAGTAAAAAGTTAAGAAATCAAAGCAACTTTTACAGTTAAAAAATGAAATCGCTTTATTAAAGCAGAAAGGAGCAAGCTTTGAAAAACGTTGGGAAAGAGGTAAAAATTAAAAACTACCGCTTCCGTGCAGTAGAGGGTGGAGGCAGAGTTGTAGGACAAATGTTTTGAGGTGTGTCCTCAAGGTCCTCAGACATATCATATTCCAGTGTGTCGATGTGATTCTATGTGACGACACATCCTGTCGTAAAAGGTATAAAAACCCAGAGATGTTGAGATGAGTGCGAATGTCTTTGGAGTGCATTTGAATCTCTTTGGAGTTTTGTACACAATGCGAGCTGGTAAGCTGATAGACATCGAGCGGTACTGAAAGTACTGTTACTGCTATTATTAGGGATTTGCTGTCTGTTTGTGTTGCTAATTTGTGCACGTTCTGTCCCCCTTGTTTCCCGTGCTTCGTGTTGCCCGTTGTCCGGAATATTCGTGAACAAAGCGTTGTTCTCCATTATCCTGCTTGCTTGTCTGTTTTCACCGTACGCACACCGGACGATTTTCGTAACAAGATGTTTCAACGCAGAAATAATTACAGTCAATTTATGACTTGATATTTTCAATAAGAGTTGACTTTTGAAGCTACACGAGCGCATTTTGATACGTGGGTCATACTTTAGGCTTAGATCAAAGTCTGAAGATCAAAGAAACTTATATCAACTTAGATCAAAGTCTATCTTAGTAAGGAAAAAGCAATCAAATTAACTATATATTTAACATAATTGGCAAAACTTTAAAAAAAGTCCTCCTAGCCCCAATTACTGGATCGATTTCGCAAATTTTCATTTCATATGGAAGCTCACCTTTATATGGATGACACCTTCATACGCCATTAGTGATCACAAGACCACCTCCATTTTCGAAAGAAATCGAAAATCTCTTCTTCACTGTTCATTCTCTAAGGGGAAAAATCTTGACAGAGTTCCCCAGCCCCAACCACTGTACTGATTTCTCCGATTTTCATTATATGAAAGCTCATGATCCCTAGATACGTCATCAATGGTCTTTCGTCTCCCAACACTCTTCATTTTTGAGATAATTCTCAA